AAGGCAGTTGCTGAAAAATGAAGAAAGTTAAATTAACACATGCAATTCAAATCACTGCAGCACAGATATGAGGAAATTAAATGGACAGCATGATATTTGGAGATATCCCCATGGTTCAATGGGAAGCAGAAATAACACAATCTGCTCTTGTTTCCATGGAAAGTCTTCAGTGCAGTCAACTCTGCTGTTCTGAAGTTGCCACTGGAACCAGACACAGGAAACATGGCAAACATTTTCTCTAATTGATCCTGTGCAGACAAGACCTCCCTTCTGCCAGGCAACACAGAATAAAGCACAAGATGGAAGATGCCTCTTCTCCTGTACTGCATGGAACATGATTTAATGATGGAGTGTCATGGCAAGCAGTACCTCCCTTTGAAATCTCTTGGGTGGTGATTCTGTGAAAGTATCAAGCAGAAGTGTGCCATAAAGTAGATGCAGCTGGGAGGGGATGAACTTTGGTGACAAGACTGTACCTTCTTCTCCCCCACCCTCCCTCACCACTCTCGTTCCTCCATTGGAATGGTTTCTGTTGCTGGATCATTCCTGTGGAAATGGTTATTTCAGTACAAATGCAGACAGAGGAGATGGAAGGGTTTGCAGCCAAAATCTATCTTGCCGTGAAAGAGCTGTCCTACACTTATGCCAAACAAGCCAAACAATTAATAAATTAGAGATAGGCAATGCCACAGATGATAAATTATCCACACAGAATTCTCTCTACTTAAAAGCTGAAGCTTTTACAAACTTGCATAATCCCATCCAAAATGCAAAACAAATGCATTCTTTATATAAGTTAAAATCAACAAACTATTTCCCATACATGTTACTGTGCAGAATAATTTCATAATTAAAAAACCACTGAAATCAAGTGTAAGAGTCCTCAAACACAGTGCAGAGTCCTAGAAAAAAACTGCACTCATCCTGTGCAAATGGCACAGCTATCAGAACAGGTGTCTGTGAAGGCTATTTAAAGTATTGACTTCATAAATTAGAAATGAAGAAGCCTTTAAAATGAGTACAGATAATGGAAACAGTACAAACTGAATTAAGGAAAAGAGGGGACACAGATCTATTTTTCATGATTCTCCAATAACAGGAAGAATCAAAGCAAAACCTCCGCAGGAGCCCCAGGTTTGGTCCCAAAGGGCTGAACCCATGGCACTCTGCAGCACAGTCATGGCTGCTGGGATCCTGTTATGAGAGCAAAAAAGACTTACAGAAACCAGCCAGACAGGATATGGCTGACCCACATGATTTGACTTCTGCTTTATGGTCTTACCAGCACAGTGACAATGTTTATGGGAGCATCAAAAAGGGTTACAAACATATGACAGAAGAAAGATTGCATGAGAGCTGAACCAATAACCTTCTTCACTGTATTTTAGCTCAAGCACAATAGCTACTTCAAGTTTTAGAAACACTTTTTAAGTGAATTAGAATTTCACCCTTACTTCTTTGAGGAATTTACAGGTTAATATCCATTTAACACTACAGAATTTCAGAGTCTTTCCCTTGGTAACAATATTCAAGTTTTGAATGCCCTCAGCTCCCCTCCAAAGTAACTTCTATTTTCTTTATATTTATTTCCTTTCTTTCAAAATCCAGGACAGTCTACTTATTCCTAAACTCTTAACCCATTTTTCTATCACATTGTTTGTACTGCAGGTTATCTCTTCAACTACTCACAGAGATTTCAGCTAACTCATTCTATTTGTTGATGGCATCTTGAGCAGATTTATAACACAAATTCTGTCTCAGAAAGAATATATATGGACAATGTTTTGACAGCAGTCAGTTTCTTGTGCAGTTGATAAGACTGCAAAATTTTGTCTATAGATGTAAAGCTTAGTTTGAGAGACTAGAGAACATTTCCAGATGTTTAGTAAATCAGGATGTTCTATAAACCTCTTTGTTTGTCTGAGACACATTTTCAAAGTCACAAGGGGGAAATAAAGAACCCAGTTCCCACTGAAAACCAAACATCACCCCCTTTATTAAGAAAGCTGAGATATTTCCTCTATACATGATGACGCTGTTCTGTGGATGGAGGAATTATTTTATAAAAAATGCACAGAAGAACATTTCATAGCATGGTTAAAATTGCGATGTCTTAAGATTATAAAATGCAATGAGAGAGGTTTTTAGGGGACGTTATTTCCCAAACCCATCTGATACACTAAAGAGGAAAATATTAACAAGCTTTCAGGCCCACAGATCTTAAACAGAGGAGGCAAAAATGTTTGGAAGTGCAAACCAGCAGTGACACCTTTGTGTCCTAAATTTATGTGTGTGCAAGCACAGTGTGCCATTGTGACAGCATTAGTAAAGTCAAATATTCTTAAATTACCTAGGAAAAGTCTAAGGGTTTGAGTGTCAGCAGGAATCTTCCCACCAACTTTAGTGTCTACGTTGATGTCACCTTTGGTAATTGTCCCTGAATCTGGCCCTGAGTTGAGGGCAGCACTGGCCAATTTCTCAGTGGCAGCTTTAGGATTTCCCAAGACTTAGATGCAGATCATGTCTCTCTCCTGGCAGTGAGATCTGGTAGCTCAAACTGAATTAAAGGTTAGTCTAACTTAAGAATCCAAGCAAAAACTGGTAAAAATTGGAGACAAAAACCAAAGAGAAGTAGTTCTGCTCCTGTGGAATCTTCTCAGCCTGCTGTAGCAGGAGGTTTATGGTTAGATGCTGGATGAGAAAAGCAGAGCAGCAGTGACAGTGAACAGATGGATGGGTATGTCACAATATCTACTGGATTACTTCAGGAAGAGTGAGCTTGTATCAATTTCAGCCAAGTCCAGTTTAATGTCCAGAAGTGCCTCATCCAGCCTCTAAACTGCACTTTTTTTTAATGAGAGCCTGTTAAGGGCTACCAGGCATAAGCTCAAATAAAGGCCAATGGTTACGGGCCAATAACTATAGGGAGGCCAGATGTGAGAATGAATGCAAAAGTACAATGGGCTGGAAGGAAAAAAGAAAGTAAGATGCCTATATATAATTTGCCAAGTTTCTATGAAAAAAAAACCTCCACTTTTAATTCAAAAGCACAACTACACTTGATTTATTCACTGTTGTTCACCTTGCTCCTACCTTTGCCTTCAGCAGACGAAGCAGATTTTCATGAGACTAGAATTCCTGTGTCTATGCCCACGCTCCATTCACATCTATATACATGAGCTGGAGTGGCATATGGCTCTTTAGGCAAACTGGGTATCAGTTACACATAAACCCCAAATGTTATTTCCCTGGCTTTGGCGGAGTTATACACTGAATTGTTTCAGCAGCACAGTACAACTTAAGTGCTAAAGAAACCACAACACATGCATATTTTACTCGCAGTTTATTTTTTTTTTATGTCTCAGTTGGCATTTTCTCATTAGAAATGCTAAATAATTGCCCAGACATTTGCTTGTATAATTCCTTTTGTTATCAGAAAAGTTTTGAAAAGCTTCAGTTCTTCTTATCTGGAGCCCCAAATCATCAGCTGAAAGTTTATTTTCAGTTCCAGCTCACATAACTTCAAGACACCTTTGCTCATGACTTTGCAATTACCTTAGTAATTTAACTGAGTATCTGGAGGTTTTGTTTCCCTTTTTTGACAGATCCTGAATCCCAAATGTTAATGCCATTTTGTAGCTTGTATTTACTAAATTTTAAACCCATATTGAATCAGTTAGATCACACATTCTTTCACCATAATCCCAGTCACATCAAAGCTTAGACTTTAAATTCCTGCACCTTGCCCTCTCAGACTCTAGATACCATTATGAAACTTCCAAATATGAGGAACTGACCACAAATATTAGAAAGCTGCTTCAGAGATTATTCAGGTTTCATGTCAGAAACTTATTATTTGCTTCCTGTTTTAACTTTAAAACCCTCAGCTTCCATTCATTTAATCTTCTTGGGGCTTTGCAAGCCGTTTTAGAGTTCTCCTTATCAGATTCCTGTCTGCTAAGGAGGGCTTGAGAGGACAACTGATTTCAATTTCATTTTGCTCCATATGCTACACTTTGTTAATGTGGTTACTGTTTCCACATTTCAGTCTTTAATTAGAGTTTGTTACCTGACAGAGCTTAGTTTCAACACCATGTCCTTTCTCTTTTACATGCAGTCACAACATGTTCGCAAATTACACTTCAGGTGAAAAAAACAAAAAAAAAACAACAAAAAAACCAAACAACCAAACAAAAGAAAACCTTCGGAGTAAATTGCTTAAGGAATAGGATACTAGGATCATAATATCCAGAGGAATTTTCCTTATTAGAAGGAAATATTCACTTCCAAGCCTTCCAATCCACGAAGTTATGCAGAGACGGAGAACAGTGGAGGCAGCGCTGGTAGCAGCACAAAGGTAACTGGAAACAGAATATCCCTTCTGACTCCATAAACCCCGGGACATTCGGTTACAGCTTCTGGATCGTTACAAGTATTTTATTACTGTAAAAGTTTCACAGTGAAAGAGACGCTGCCTTGCGCGTAAGTGCCTTCACCACGCACAGGTTTGTAAAGAACATGACCCGGGCACCAGAAGTGAACGCGTCCCGGACTGCAGCTCCCTCGGGGACACCGCGTTTCGGGGCCCGGGTGGGGCACGGGCAGTGCCCAGACGGGCAATGGGCACGGGAAGGCAGCGGCTCGGTGTCCGCGGCAGGGTGACGATGATGAAGGAGCGGCGGCGCCGACCCCGGCCCCGCTCCGGACGGTCCCGGCCGGCCACGGGGCGGCGGCCGCACCTGCGGGCACTGAGCATGCGCGCGGCGCGGGGCACGCCGCGATTGGGAGCGCGGAGCCAGAGTGGGACGGAGCCGCCGGGAGCCGCTCCATGGGAGCCGCTCCATGGGAGTTGATGCCGACGCTGCTGCCGCCTCGGACCCCGCGCCCTGCGAGGATCCAGCTCCCGCCGGGGACTCCCGCCGGCCGCGCGGAGTCTTCTCCGGAGCCGCGGGCTGCCCGGAGCCGGGCATGACCGGGCGGGCGGCGGGGGCCAGCCGTGCCCCGCGGGGCTCCGCCGGGCTTTCTAGGACGCCGGCGCCCCGCATACCCACCATGGATCTGCTGCTGTTGGTGAACACGAGCCTGGGCTCCGCCAACGAGTCCCTGGCGCTGCCCCCCGCCTCGCCGTCCTCCTCGGCCCTCCTGCAGCCGCCCTCCCCCTACTCGCCGGCGGCCGTGGCCAGCCTGGCGGCGGTGGTGGGCTTCCTCATCGTCTTCACCATCGTGGGCAACGTGCTGGTGGTGATAGCTGTGCTCACCAGCCGGGCGCTGAGAGCCCCCCAGAACCTCTTCCTGGTGTCCCTGGCCAGCGCGGACATCCTGGTGGCTACCCTGGTCATGCCTTTCTCCTTAGCCAACGAGCTTATGAATTACTGGTACTTCGGCAAGGCTTGGTGTAACATTTACCTGGCGCTGGACGTGCTGTTCTGTACCTCGTCCATCGTCCACCTGTGCGCCATCAGCCTCGACAGGTACTGGTCGGTCACACAGGCGGTGGAGTACAACCTCAAACGGACACCGCGGCGGATCAAGGCCATCATCCTCACCGTGTGGCTCATTTCAGCCATCATCTCCTTCCCGCCATTGATCTCCGTGTACCGGGACCCTGAAGGAGATGTCTTTCCCCAGTGCAAGCTCAATGACGAGACATGGTACATCCTTTCTTCTTGCATTGGCTCTTTCTTTGCCCCCTGCCTCATCATGGTGTTGGTCTATATCCGCATCTACCGCGTGGCCAAGCTAAGGACCAGGACCCTCTCTGAGAAGCGTACGATGCCAGAGGGGTCCTCCCAGACTGAGAACGGCTTGAGCCGCGCTGCCGGCGGCTGCACGTCCCTGAGGATGCCGCTGGGAGAGAACGGACATTACTCGGTGCACCACTGGCGCAAAGCCTCTGAGCTGGAGGACATTGAGCTGGAGGAGAGCAGCACCTCAGAGAGCAGGCGGAGGCGGAGCCGGGAGGAGCATCGCCGCAAAAGCAAGAGCCAGTCCTTCTCCTACTCATACTCCTCCAAGCACTCCAGTAGCCGTCTGTCCCGTGCGAGCAATCGCTCCATGCAGTTCTTCTCGTATCGCCGTCGCCGGAAGCGTAGCAGCATCTGCCGTAAGAAAGTTGCCCAGGCCCGGGAGAAACGCTTCACTTTTGTGCTGGCTGTGGTCATGGGGGTCTTTGTAGTTTGCTGGTTCCCTTTTTTCTTCAGCTACAGCCTCTATGGTATTTGCCGGGAGGCATGTGAGGTCCCTGAGACTCTCTTCAAGTTCTTCTTCTGGATTGGGTATTGCAATAGCTCCCTCAACCCAGTCATCTACACCATCTTCAACCAGGACTTCCGCAGGTCCTTTAAACACATTCTTTTTAAGAAGAAGAAGAAGAACTTCCGGCATTGAGCTGGAGGGATGGATTTGCCTCGAGCAGGAGTAGAGATAAAAGAGAAGGCTCAATGCTGGAAAAGAAGGGAGGGGAGAGAACGTGGGGCTTGGGCTTAGGGAGCGGGAAGAGGGCTCGCCCCCTCGGTGGAGCAGGGAGATGCTGTGGGGGACAGGGATGGTGTCAGGGAGGCTGAGGGCACTCACCGTGGTACAGAATGGTGACATGGAGCTGGGGGAGCCGTGCTGGAGTGTGGAGGGGTAAAGGGGGAGGGAGTGACTGTCTTTGAACTCTGACAGAGGGCACGGGGAGCCCACAGAGGAAAGTAGGCTGAGGCACTGAGTTTGGGAGGCAGTGAGCTTTCACGGGCTCTGGAATTTTGTGGGGAAACAAAAGGAGACATCAGAAGGAGAGGGTTAAGTGGCAGTGGTGGTGGAGATTTTAGTATATATAAATAGGGCAGCTGGGGCCTATGGTGGATTTGTCCCAGTAAGAAATTGGCTTTTACTGCTTGTGTGGGGAAGGAGAGTGCAAAGTACCAGGCACTGACAGTGTTTTGAGTTATGAAAGGATTTAAATGTTTGCCAAAAAAATCCTAAAGAACAATCCAAACTCTTTTCTAAATAAACCTTTGTACTGTTAAAACCTTCTGAATCATGATTTTGCTCAAGGGATGAAGTCAAACAAAGCAAGGGGTTTTCTTTTCCTTTGGAGGGGTCTTTGCCTGTAGATCTGGATGGGAAATATTTTTCCTATCTTCCCATAGTTTTTGATTAGTCAGTGAGACAAACCTGGGAGTCTTGCATTTTTTCATGAAATATGAAAAAGAACACATATACCACATGACCTCATTTCCTCCTACTGGATCACCAGGCAGTAAATTCCTGCTCCATCCTTCTCAGGATGGACCTAAGGACCTTGCTGTCCTGGAGCAGATAGTGAGAAAAAAAAATTACTCTGGTAAACTTGCCTAACATTTGAGATTAAAAAAAAATCAAGTTTCCACTTCTATGTGCCATGGGGAACTTTTCCTTCCCTTTTTTTCAGTCTCCCTTCAAAGGCTAATCTCAGGGCTGGATGTGTGCTCCTCATTCTCAGGCAGGCAGTTGAAGGCATTCTGATATGTAGGTTTTCAGAGGAAGAGCAATCACCCCGCTACTAAGGTCTTTAAATCCTTCATATTTACAGTCTTAGAGCAACTAAATCTTTTGTATTTATTTTTTAATGAGAAGCATACATTGCAGATTGTCAGCGGTGTATGTGAACAAATCTCAAAAGGAGGTGCAGCTGCTCCAAACCTTTGGTGTTAATGTTGTTTGCTTTCGCTTATTCTGTTTGCATTTCTAGTTTATGATTTTAGAGGATTTTCTAGGGAGGAGAGGCAGAAGAGGGGAGCATAGTTTGAAAAGTTATTAAAGCAAACTATATTTCCCATGGGTTTATAAAATGTCATAAACTGCAGTGAAGAAAATGAGAGGCAGGGACTGGTGTCTGTGCATTCATCACTGAATGCACACCAAGTGTAAGAGTGAACTGAGCATTTACATCCCTTCTTCAGCTGTGCTGCTGCAAGGTGTGTATTCTGTTCATGGGGCAAATACTGCTCCTTTTTATGTTTATCACTCCTTCCGTAGGCAGCAGGATTTGGCATCTGCCTCAAATGCACCTTTCCACAGCAAACAGTTCTTGGAAAAAAAAAAGTGAAATCTAATCCCTTATAACAGACTTCTTAAAACAGCTGAATTGAATCTATGTTGAGGAATTGATACCCCCTTCCTTTCTCCCTCTGTTCTGTCTGAAAAGTGTCTGTAGCCTCTTATTGTGAATTCTCTGTAGCATAAGGAAAAAGGATAGAGCAGTCACTTTGTTTCATCAGTTTTTCAAAATAAGCATTTGGTTCACTTAACCCTGGCAAAGGAGACTGTCAGTGACTGAGGTTCTGGTTGTTCCTTCAATAGACAGTTTTAACTCAAATTCAAGTGGGAGTTGTGCTGAAGTAGGGATTAGATGATTGCATCAAATGCATTAGAAGTTTGCTGGATTTCGCTAAGTAAACAACTGAGATATTTTCAAAGTCCTAAATCTGTAACTTATGGGATGCCTTCTTGAAATAAGGCTCAGAGTGTGAAAAGATTTGAGTTTTGTTTAAATAACAAATGGTTTGGTACAAATGCATACCTGAGACAGATAAAGGAGAGATAAAAATAGCAACTGAGAGGAGAAAATTACAAGCCATTTCTCTTTTGCAAAATGGAGAGTTCTTATTAAAGTTACATCAGGAAGAGCTGAAGCTAGCTCTTATTATTTTTAGGTAACAATGTAGCTAAAAAGTTCAGGTTTGTTTACTCTGAATAAACTATAACCACCAGAGCAACCAAAGCAACATATGGTACCTGGCTGCTACCTCTGAGCTCCTGGACAGCTTCATTAGAGGTGCCCATTCCTGCCAAATGAAGGTCTGCTTTTGTCACTTAATGCTCCCTTGGAGGGGTTTCCCAGTCTGCAGACTCACAGTGCTTTCACTGTTGTGCTGTTTTTGAAATGAGCTCTGTGGCCTGCAAGAACAGTCCTTCCCCCTCTGTTTTCCTTGTAGAATTCAAGCAGTCTATGGAAATGAAATTCTGACAGATTTTAGTGAGCATAAAAAATATATATGGAATGACTGATGTGCCTTAAAAGTAAATTCTTTGCAGTAAAAATATTCTGTGGTCATTATAAACATTAAAGAAATAATGCTTCTAATTTTTTTTTTGTTTGTTTTTCACTTCCAAATATTTTAAAGGGTTTGATGCAGGTACTGAATATCTATGAGCAGCAACATAGTTAAAACCAGGGTATTTCTTGGTTTTAATTTTTCTTGTCACAGTTACTCATCTGATTCAATGCCTCAAGAGAGTCTTATTTCTTCTGAGCTAAATAAAAGTAATATTCATTAATAAAGATGTGCAGTTTACACCCCTTCTAAGTGCATTTCCCTCTAAATTAGTGAATATAAAGGATTTCTATAAAAATAATTTTAATGTAACTACTGAATATGCTTCAAGTAAAATGGGGCTGATTTACTTTTTTTAAATACATTGGTCTCTTGTTACTTGTAATAGCTGAAGACTGGAATTTGTAACATACTGTGTGGTGTTAACTTTCCATAAAAAGTTTTCAGCTCTGCTACTCATACTGTGGTTGTGCTTCAACTGTAAGCTGGCTAATAGTATCTACAGGAGAAGAATAGTCTATGCAGCTTTAGCTTAAGAAAAAGGGAGAAGATATGTGTAAAATGTGCTGAGTTGTTTCTTTGATCAGCTATGAGAAACCGGTTGAAATACTCTCTCCTGTTGTGGAAGAAGGAAATATTGCTACTAAGCCATATCGATTTTAACAAGTACTTGATCTTTAACTCTTCATTTGCTCATTTCACCGTGAAGAAAAATTCCTGTCATTCTTAAGTGAGACATTGATGTTTCATTTTCGATTTTCTGAACTGTGCTGTTGTTGGTTGAGTACTGAAATATCGAACAGTGTAACTTAGCTGGGATGGGAACTCAGTGCTGCTGTCCCTCAGCCACCTCTGTGGGAGTTTTGCGTGAGAGAGAAATGCAGAATTAGCCTCTTCAGGGCTTGAGGCAGATGGAAGAGGCCTTATAAATAGGAGATTTGACAGGATCACAGCTTTAAATCATTGTCTGAAATAAGAATCAGGCCCTTGTTGTTCTGTGCGATCTCTGTTCACAAGAGTCATGTTGCTGCAAGAGCACTGGTGATTCCTGACAAGCAGATCTGAGATGAAAGTCTACATGCAGCTTTGCACACGTTGGCCTGTATCAGCCTTTGTGAGTAATCTCAGAAAACTTGAGTGGAATTTACTTGTGAGTCAGGAAGATACTCACAGTGGGCAAGGACTTCAGGAGCCTCCTGAAACGTTGCCTCCTTTTTAGTAAACATGCTGGAGGAATCTAAGCAAATGTTTGTGCGTAAATGTAGGAGAACAGAAGGAATGCAATCCTCTCTGCTTAACTCTTGACTACTGTTCAAGCCCATAGAGGATGTGGATGAGGGTTTTTTTGACTGTATATTTTTGGTGTAAGCTGTGTGAAGAGCATTATGTGATTGCATCTGTTTTTCAGAGAAGAAAACTGTTGGTCTGTGAGGGTTGGTATTGGCTAGAACAGCATCTGAGAATTCTAAGGATTTTGTAGGAACTTTTGGTAATAAAATCCGTTTCAGGAGAAGGTTCTGACCTTAAACTATGACTGCTCTCAAGAAGGAGAGAATATCTACAAGCTGTGCAAAAGGAAGACCAGATGCTATGTGAAAACTCTGTGAGCTCGTTTTTATGGTTGCTCATTATGACCTTGTTGGTGAGCAGAAAGCAACTAGATGCTTCAGAGAAAAAGCTCTAATTCAAAGGGGGAACAGTGGATGAGGAAATGGCTACCCACAACACTGAGGGAATTCATATTTGCATGCCTTCTTTCTACTGTGCACAGGTACAGTAGAGGAAGCTGGCTTTTTCATTGCACAATAGAAAATGTTAATTTGTGTTCCAGATCTGTGGGTCACCTGTGCCATACAAAATTTGTCACGGGAGAAAGCAGAGAGAGGATTGCTCACTTCAGTGTTCAACACCAAGCTTAAATTTGTCCTTTGTCCTTGAAATTAAGCCAGAAATACAGTTTGGCACTTGCACCCAAAGGCTATGTAGCATCAATAATGGTACACTGAATATAGTCTAGTTTTAGCAAAAAGCATCAGTTCATATTATACACCCTGCACATCTCTGTTTCAGGGTGGAAGTAGGAGAGTCTGACACTTAAGTCATGTGAGAAAGAAATAATCAGCACTTTGAAGAATCTCAGGTACATTGAAAAATATACCTAGGTCCTATTTCGATAACAGAGATGGCTTCGGTTTTGTGGGTCCCAGTCACTTTGAGCTGATAAGAAAGAACAGGGGAGGTAGAAAACAGAGAAACAATAGAAATGCTGCTTCTCAAGGAAGCAGAAAGTGGCAAATTGCTGAGAGTCATGTTCAGATCTTTATGCCAGCCCCACTCCAGTGGGGGTAGGAGCTGTTACTGGGTTTTGTGGGAAAGGCTGAGGTGTCTTCAACTCACAGTGACTACCACACTTGATCTGAGCTAAGGAAATACATTGGTACATTGCCTTGGTTTGAAGTGGCAGCCCTTATTCAACTCACAGTGACTACCACACTTGATCTGAGCTAAGGAAATACATTGGTATTGGTTTGAAGTGGCAGTCCTTGGAGAGCAGCAGAAGAGGTTTTAAGTAGTTTATCTCTCCTCTGGCACATGTTCTTCACTATCCCAAACATTTTTTAATTCAATTGCACAACAGTTGATAAGGTAGGGAAGGATTGTCAATATCTTACAGAAAAAAAAAAAAAAGGCAAAGAGGCAAGGAAAGTAGTAGGTAATAAAATCCTCTGTCTTAGTCCTGACATAACATCTTACCACAATACCAGTCTTTTTTCCCCCACCCCCCTTTTCTTTTGGAAAACTGAAATTCATGCAAAACTGCAGAAGCTTCTTTTAAATAGACTACACCAATAATACTGTTTATACTAGAAAAAAAGAAGAGCTTTTCTGTCAATAAGTAGCCTTCTGCTGTAAAGCAGTTTTCTTTACTACACTTGTCTGAAAAATCTAATGAAAAGTAGATCAGCACTTAATTCAATTTGTCTATATGTACCTCTCTTAACAAAAATGCTTTATTAATGGTCCTGAATGTAAAGGACACAAATGAAATGTAGCTGCCTGCTACATCAAAATCAATTAGTTGTGTTTCAGCATTTTTGTGAACAGCAGTCATTCATTTTGCATGATGCTCTTTCCTGATAGCTCTCTGCTGACAGAGAAAGCTGTTCACCCTGTTGACAACAGGAATAAAATGAGGATTCATATTTGCCTCCATTAACTCTGTTAAGTGTCCTCTAATACACTAAAAAGCAGGCTGCTAGAAGTAGGTCTTTTGGTGTGATGTCTAGTAAGTGACATGGATCAGAGAATTAATAACCTGATGGGTTCCAAGATGTACAGCACCCTTAATGGAGAGGCTCACCCCAGGCTGCAGGGACATGCTTCACTTGGTTTTGTTCTCTATGCCTTTGACCCAACATTGCAAATTATTTGCTCAGTAGTGGAACATTTTCAGCACACCATCCCTTTCAACCTCATCTGCTGGAGTAAGAAATTAATACTGAGGTCTCCCACTTCCTCAGTGAGTGCTTTGGCCAACAGACTATTTATACAGGTGATGCAGCTAAAATGCCTTTCCTTTTGGCACATAAATGTTTTATTTGATCGAGCTTTTTATCTTTCAGTAGACTAACACTCTTGTTCCACAAGGACATTCTCTATCTGGAAAGCAAACATATGTCAAATACTTGGAGGAATATTAGAAATCCTGAAAAACCCCAGCCACTCCAGGTAAATTTTAAAAGAAAACACCACAGCTGAACTAAGAAAAAGGCTTAATCTTGTCTCTGGTGGGGATGCCCTGTCTGAGACCCCCTACTACTCTGGTGTGCCTCTGATCAGATTTGGTGCAGTGTGTGGAGCTGTTCTGTTGGACTCCTGCAGCTGTACTGAGAGGAACAATTTCATGTGTCCAGCAAAGATTAGAGAAGTTAAACACATGCTTATTGAATCATTTAACATTATAGCAGACACTCACTTTGGCTTCCTGTTCCCTTTTTGCACTCTTTAAATTGCTTTCAATCTGACTGCCATACACAGCCCGTGCTTGCAGTGCCTTTCCATCAAATGCCTCCTCAGTGTCTGGCTGGTGACACCCTCCTCCTCTCAGCTGTGCTGGAAGGGTTCTCCAGAAGACTCTCCATGAGGTGCTTCCATGTGGTGCTGTGCTATATATGAGTACCTGGAAGAACAGGAGTTACTGCAAGTTCTTGCTGACTCCAAGCCACACTGTTTTATCACCAATAAATGCTTGTGTGCAGAGTTTCAAAGTGTCTATAAATGTGCATTCCCTGAGGTTGGCACTGATTTGTTTACATCAGCAGCAATTTCTGTAGGTAATTAAAGGGAGACTTTTAGTCAATCCATCAGATACTACTTTGGATATGCCACATGGTACATCAGAGAAACATGATGTGTTGTTTCAACAACACAATTAACAACAGAAGTGATTAAAGATTCCTGGATGTCATGTTTTTTTCTGCAAAAAAAGAACGCAGTTCAATGAAATCTGATTGTTCTTTAAAGAACGTGTCTGTTTTACCCAGTGCATAATGGAAACCAGGAGACCTTTAATCAGCTTCTGGGGGCCCGACTGCTTGCTGGCCTGGCTGCTCGGCAGGCTCTGGGTGAGGTGCCAGAAAGCCGAGACTTCCAGGCTCCTGGACCCTGGCAGCTCAGGCCCCTGGGTTTATGGACACTCAGCTGAGCTCCATTATCACAGCATCTAAATGCTTCATAACTTCTGCTATACTCATTCTGTCAATGCCTTTGTGCATTAAGGAGTGACTGCCATGCCCTTTTTCCTGATGAGAAACTAAAAGATTAATGGCAGTTAGGTAGGTAGATCATAAAAACCTTCTGGGTTTTGTGGATCGTTCCAGTTGCAAGCCCACTATTGATTGTCAGGCTCCTGCTAAGCTCCAGTATATGAAGTCCACCTATACTTTAAAGTTCTGCCTTCTGTGATTGCCGTAGGCCCACAGAACACACACACAAATCCCATCAGGATGCACAAACTCAATGTGCTTTTCTTGTCCCCATCTGGTAGGGAGCTCATGCAGTTTGAATATTGCAGAATAAGGAAAAAGCAATGTAATACCTCCAGTTTGTGGGGGAACAATGATATTGCTGCCATTTCTTTAAGGTCTGTGTGGTTTTGGTCACCAGTGCTGGATTCACACTGCATTTCTGCATGCCTACCTTTACTGTGTGTTGGAAAAAGTACCCTCAGGGCATAATTGACCTATGACTTATACCCCAAAGGAGTGGACTTTTTCTCTACTCCTGGCAAAGTACGGAAGTCACAAATACTACCTAAAAATAAAATTACCAAAGATCCCTCCCAAAACTAGTCCATTGATACAGCCAATCTCATGTATGGGTTAAGGCTCAAACTCATGTAAATTTAAAAATAAAGAAACAATTACAAGCTCAGGGATCTTTCATATCTCCCATTTCTTTTAGTGCAGGTCCCTCAGGATGCAGTCTGGAGCACTAGATTCTACTTTTCTCAGACTTTGAATGTCATCTCCCTTGAGGTTACTGAACCTATGTCTTCAATAATGCAGAAATTTCCTGGAAACTCAAATAAATGTTTAAGAGTCAAGAAATAACACATATGATTCCAACACCAGACAGGATGAACTCCCTCTCTGGCAATACTGTTGGGAACAAACATTCAGGGCTAGTCTGTGTATATTTCTCAGGCAAAATTATGACTACAGAGGGATCCTGAGTTCCAGGTGAATGTTTTGTACAGAGGAGGCTTTCTGACAGTGTTTACCACCTTCAGAAGTGCCAGTCAATGTCTATAAAACTCATGCTTGTCATAATAAGGAATGGGATTGTCCCCAGATATATTTTTTAAAGCGGGGGCAAGATGTAAAAGTAATTATAAAAAAATGTTATGCATAGAAAACGTGAAAGGGAAAGGAACCTGTCTATTGCTGAACAGTTCAGCAGCAATTCATTTTTACCTAATTCTGCCATATCCAGCTAGGGCTAACTGATGGTCACATAGGTTGAGGCTGCCCTCGGGTTACAATGTTTTCAAAAAGTGTCATAACATTTTGTGTGTTAAATAGATTTCTGCTGTGGTAACAGTTACTATTAATTAGTGACAGAAATTGTGCTCTTTTTTCTCCTTCTTCAGAGGAGAAACAAACAGAAGTATTTTGTAGTCCTGTATTTTACAGGACTACAAAAATAGCTATTCCTTTTCTACTTTAGTAAGGCAAAAAAAAAAAAAAAAGAAAAAGAAAAAAGTAGGAACAAACATATTAAATAACCATTAGGAATTTAGGATGCAGATTAACTATTTCATTTTCTGATTCATCAAGCACAACTCACTAATTAACTCAATGCATTTACTTATCACTGAGGTTTTATGTGTTATGTAATAAAACATCTCACATGCCCAGAAAGGCTGTGCTGTCTGTCCTCAGAGAATTTCAAGGTCCAAGTGGATAATGTCCTGAATAACCTGGTCTGGCCTCACAGGTGACCCTGCTTTGAGACCAAGACTGGACTAGAGGCATTCTGAGGTCCCTTCCAACCTGAATTAGCCTGTGATTCTGAGACCTGTTTCTTCCTAGTAATAAACAAAAGTGAAGTCCTAATACCTGGGTAGCATCAGAATTATATTCTATAGAATAATGCAGATATACTGCTGTAGGTGGGCAAATCCTTAGGCCATTTGAATATTTAGATCTCTAGAACTTTTATATCTGCTGTGTGCAAATTCTGTCTAACACACATTTGGCTGGATCCAGGGTACAAACCTTTTATTTGTTTAGAATAAATTTAGTAACTAAAGAACTCTGCAGCATGTTCTCTCCCCCTGCTAAATCCCACTCCCCCACAGTTCTTAGCACTGTAGAGGCACATAAACATACAAATATTTTACAAGCATTTTCTTTAAAACTCCAAACAAAATATTGGTTTGGGTTTGTTTGTGTGTTTTGCCCAAAT